TGGACACATAATCTGAAATGAAAATTCGAGCTAATAACTTTAATGTATTACAATTAGCATAATATGAAATGAATATTTTAGAAAAGATGAAATTTTAAGGAGAAAAAATATAAAAGGTAAAGCTTACTGAGCGTAGTAGGATTTATTGTGAGGGCAACAAAATCTAGCATAGCAAACGACATCTGAAGATGGGTATACCTGCCTTCTATTGATGGTTGCTCGATCGGTACCCTCGTTGCGCTGAGGCAACAGTCGATAAATCCACCGCGGTCGTTGACGGCGTTTCTGTGGAATAATTCCACTTTACTAGAGTGAGTGGCATAAATATTGAATAAGGTTCGCCGATGTAAAGGAGGCGATTGAACAGAAAAGACATATAAGATCGGTACTAGGAGGCAGTTCAGAATTTGGGAACAATGAAAGGGGAAACCAGATATAGTTTGGGCAGGCTAACAATTACTCCCTCCGTGCCATTTTACTTCGCCAATCTTGACTTTTCAAGTTAATGGAGTCTAACTTTGACCGATTATATGTTTATATAGAGAAAGTATTAATAATATGAAAATGATATGAAAATGTTCTTTGTAAAAAATACTATCATAAAAGTATAAAATTATTAAATTTTGCATAAATATATTAGTTTAAATAATTGGTCAAAATTTACCATCTTTGACTGGAAAAGTCAAAGATGCTAAGTAAATTGGGCGAAGGAAGTATGTGCTAGTACAGGGATCACTTTTATAATTTGAAACTTTTTAATGAATAGCTTACGTGGAACATTTATCAAATAAGACTCAGTCACATGTTAGAATGCACCAAAAGATGCTCTAACATGGATGTACCCAAGAGTTACCCTATAAAAAATTCTCAAAAGATGACATCAAGATGGCATTTATGACACATGTTGGTACTTTTCTCCGATGATCGGAGTTGGTGGTGTTGGAAGGTTGTTAAGGTGACAGCATAGGCTTGCATATATTTTTTAATTATTTTAATTTTTTAATTTAAATTTTTATGTTTTTCTTTTTTTAATTTTTTTATTTTTCAATTTTTTTAATTTTTATTAATTTTATTTAATATTTATTTCATGTTGTTTATTTTTTTACATTTATATTTTAAATAAAGTTATGTTATTAGTTTTATATTTTAATTATTAATGAAATTTCAATTGTATTAGAACAAATTAAAGCAAGGGTATAATTGAAAAGTTGGTCCTACTTTAGTAATTAAAGTTTCATTTAGTTTTATTTGGAGAATTCTCTCATTAATATAAGGTGTTTATCATCAAAAAAAAATGTGACAATTTATTTAGTATGCTACGAGTAGTGGAGAAGATAACTAAGACAATAAATAATAAAGTAATCATGGAGATAATTAACATTAACTCATCAATTTTTTTATCTCCAATAGGGGGGTTGTAATCATTGTATTGAAGGCGAAATGGTGATGAGTGATGACCAAGTCATGCATGGAAGAATAAAGGTGGCTTGATCCTATAAGCATGCCTACAAATACAGCGAGGGGTACATGTGAAGGAGCACGATGAGAGTGAGATCAAAACAGTCGATCATATCCATGGGTTCGTTAAAACTGAGTGACGATATGGGAGAGACAGAAATGGAGATGCCGCAGGATCATATAGGAGCCGCCGGAGGGGAACACAACACCATCGCCACCTCTACAACATCCTCACCAGTTGCCGGAGGATGGGGAGCTATCAAGTACATTCTCGGTATGTACTATACTATACTATACTATACGTCTGATCTGATCCATCGCTCGGTATGTACTATACTATACTATACGCCTGATCTGATCCATCGCTGCCTAGCTAGCTACTTACTCCATCATCAATTCATTCCAGAAAATCCCAGATTGCATAGCATGCATATTCATTTCATGACTTATGTATGCATAGAATGGATGTGCAGGAAACGAGGCGTTCGAGAAGCTGGCGTCGATGAGTTTGGTAGGGAACATGACAGTATACTTACGCACGAAATACAATCTCGAAGGAGTGGAGTTGGTTAACGTGGTGAGTATATGGAACGGCACCTCCAACATCTCAACCCTCGCCGGAGCTTTTGTGTCCGATGCCTATTTCGGCAGATTCCTCACCCTCTTCTGCGGCTCCCTTTCCTCTCTTACGGTTCGTACCTGCAATTTCCTTGAACCAAAAATGTTTAGACAATGATCCCTAACTTTAGACAATGATTTTAGTTATTATATTTGTATATAATAATTTTCAAAGCTTATACTTTTATGAAAATATTTTGAATAAGGAACATTTTGATATACTTTTCATATTCAAAATAATTTCGTAATACGTAAAAGATATTATTAGTCAATTTGATTCTCATTGATCAACAAAAGTTAATTTGGCAAACTTAGTCAATTTGATTGTCATTGATCAACAAAAGTTAATTTGACAAACTTTTTGGGATGGAGCTTACATTTAGGTGCATAATAAGGTTTGCTAATTTTTCCAAAAGAAAAAAAGGTTTGCTAAACCAACCAACCTAGTAAAATATGATCAATACCGAGTACACTGAAAACTGAATTATATGGGAGATTTCATTAAACAAGAATAAATAAAGGTAAAATTGTAGCAATAGAAGCTTAAAGGTAAAGTTGTAGCAATATAAGCTGAAAACACAAGATATCATTTTTCGGGCGATCAAAGTTGTAGCAATATAAGCTTAAAGTTTGCATAGGCCTATATTTTTTTAAGTATTTTATTTTACGGAGTATATTTTTGTTTTTTAATTTTTTTAAATAACTTTTATTAATACTTTTATTAAAACTTTTATTTTTTCCCGTTTTTATTATTAATATATAATTATTTTTATCATTTTTTAAATTTTGTTATAATTAAAAGTATGATTTTTTTATAATAAAAAAAATGTATTCCGTATTAGGAAGAGACATATATTGAGAATATAAAAGGAAAATAATCCTTTTATATTTAGGGCTAATAACGGAATATATATTTAAAAAAATTCAAAAAATCCCAAAATCTGTTTTAGCTCTAGCCCGAAATATGTACTCCGTAACATAGAGACAAGTTTTTTTTTTTTTTTTTTTTTTTTTGCTGTTGATTTAAATTGGTGTAGTACATGTGTCACAACAGGGTATGGGAATTGTGACCTTGACCGCAGGTGTATCAAAACTAAGGCCGCCCCCATGTAAAGACGAAGACAACCAGTCCCATGCGTGCGTGCAACCCCACGGCTGGCAGCTGGCCGTCCTCTACGCCGGTCTCGCCCTCCTCTCCCTGGGCTCCGGCTGCATCCGCCCCTGCAACATCGCCTTCGGCGCCGACCAGTTCGACACCGACACCGCCAAGGGCAGGTCGCAGCTCGAGAGCTTCATCAACTGGTGGTACTTCTCCTTCACCATCGCTCTCCTCCTCGCTCTCACCGCCGTCATCTACATCCAGACTGAGGTCAGCTGGACCATCGGCTTCGCCATCCCCACCGCCTGCCTCCTCTGCTCCATCTCCATTTTCTTGATCGGCCGCCACACTTACATACACAAGCCACCGCAGGGCAGCGTCTTCGTTGACCTCGCCAAAGTCGCCACCGCGTCTTTCCTCAAACGCCGCGTCCGGTTAGGCCGTCCGAGCCGCAGGCTGTCGGAGGAGGAGAGTCATTCATACTACGACCCGCCTCATCGAGCAGCGGAAACAAAATTGCCACAAACTGGACGGTTCTTGTTTCTGAACAAGGCGGCGGTTATCATTGACGGCGAATTGGATGAGGATGGGAATCCCAAGAACACGTGGAGGCTGTGTAGCATTCAACAGGTGGAGCAGTTGAAGTGTTTGATTGGAATAATCCCGGTTTGGGTCTCGGGTCTGGGCTGCTTCCTCGTGATGGACCAACAGGCCTCATTCGGGACCCTGCAGGCGATCCAAATGAACCGATCAGTCCTGTTCGGGTCGGCCCGTTTCAAGGTCCCGCCCGCCTGGATGGGAATCACATCCATGATAGCACTAAGCATCTGGATTTTGGTGTACGAGAGGGTATACGTTGTAACCTTCAAGAAAATCTCAGGAAGAACAGGGGACGACGACCATGCATGCAGGTTGACCCCAAGTCAACGGATCCGGGCCGGCATCTTCATGTCCATACTCTGCATGATCTCGGCTGCGGTGGTGGAGCAGAAGCGGCGAGCTTCAGCCTTGAAACACCGTGCATTCGAGTCGCCACTCTCCTTCACGCTGCTGCTGCCGCAGTTCGTGCTGTCCGGCTTGACGGAGGCACTGGCTGCCGTCGCCATAATGGAGTTTTTCACCACGCAGATCCCGGAGAACATGAGAAGCTTGGCGGGTTCGGTGTTTTTCCTGAGCTTGTCGTTCGCCAGCTACCTGAGCTCCATTTTAGTGAACGTCATACACAGCACGACAAAGAGGAAGGGGAGAAGTCCATGGCTGGGCGGGCATGATCTGAACAAGAACAGGTTGGAGTATTACTACTACATAATCGCAGCAATTGCAGGCCTGAACTTCTTGTATTACAATTTAGTGGCTAGCAGTTTTGTTACCAGTAGCAGCAAGGAAGATGCAAGGGAGCCTAGAGCCATGGAGAATTCACGTTCAAGGTTGATGACAGAGTTGGAGCAAAGAGATGATATTAATGGTAGTGAAGAAACTGGGTTGCAAAGGATAGCAGCTGCTGTTTGATCCATCCATTATCAGTAGTTCTGTACTGTGATTTTCTTCTCCCACGGGCCTTTTAAGAAAGAGTTTCAACTTTCAACTTTCAAGTTGGAAAAATTATTATGTTTTGTGAAGGGAGAAAATATTATTGGAGGCAAACTAAAGAATCAATTATTGCTTGTTCAAATACGAGGAGTATAATACACCAAATACTAAGCATACGTTATGCAAATTGTAATCATGGTTAAATTCTAAAACCTACCAAAGAAAAAGTTAAACGCATTCACAGAGCATTTCAAACATCAAACATACCATAGGAGAAAAAACGCATAAATTGAACGAACGGAATAGCATAAAATCAGGAGTTTAGGGATGTATATTAACAATAAAAATATACTCCGGCACAATGTCATGCTTCTCACTCCCTAATCAGAGCACTGTTATGCTGTTCAAAGTATATGGTTCCAAGAGGGAGAAGGCAATTGAAAACATATAATAAAAATAAATAGATGCAGCAGAAGCACTAAGAGAGCAAAACATAGCCGAGTTTGGCAGGCATTCTCAAGGAAAAAGAACTGATGGTATGATTATTCTTCTAATCACACACGCCAAGGCACCACCAGCTAAACCACTCCCCATCCGTCTATCTCTCTCTGTCTCTCTATACGCTCCCCACTCAAACAGTATAAGCTTGCTGAATCGTCTCTATGTCAAGACCTTTCAGTTTCACTACCGATTCCACATGTCCCTTCAATGTGTGTAGCTCCCTCAGCCTTGCAATTTCAGCCCTTCTCTTTGCTTCCTCGGCCAACTGGTTGAGCTCGTTGAAATTGGTTGCTTCACTAAACAATTTGGTGTCTGGAACTTGGAGCCCATGCAGAGTTCTCTGCGCGTGGGCCCATTGCAGTTCACGTTGTTCTTTCCCGAAATCCTTCTTCCGGGTGAAAGCGATCTGCAGAACGAAGAGAAGACCCCGAAATCAAACACCAATATACATATACTCTCTCACTCCCTCCTTAGGCTTGGAAACAGACCGGATAGGTTACGGTTCCCGAACTGCTAGTCCGGAAAAGGGGGAACCATAACCGGTTTGTTCCTCCACTCAGATTCTGCTTCTGAACAAGTGTATTCCTAGAAATCCAAATATAAAAATTTTAAATTGGAACCAGAACCACCAGTTTTGGCACCCAACATATGGAATCAGGACGGTCTCCAGTTTGGTTCCCCTTTTTCAAGTTCTGGTTAGGGTTCTCAGTTCCGAACCTAAAGCTTTTGCACCCCTACTCCCTCCATACCACAAAGAATTGTCGTATTTGACTCTTTAGTAAAAGATGTTTAACTGTAACCAATGCTTTGATCTAAATATTTTAGTGATTATGAAAAAAATTGTACTCCTATAATACACTATTTTTAACAAATGACATTTTACATTACTTTCACATCATAAACCATTTTTGTATATAATATTAAATGGTAAAAGATTAATGTTTTTACTATAAAAAAAGAAGTAAAAATGGCAATTTTTTGCTGGACAGAGGTGGTATAGCTCAAATGACAGACATTTTGTAGAAATTCATCATTTTTCTAGTGTTACAATATGATCTGCTTGCTTTGAAAAAACAACATGGTCTGCTTACCCTTTGTTCAAGAACCAAATCCCAGGCCTTCCCGCTAAGAGCATAACGAGTGATGCATTTTATGAAATCAAGCGGTATATAGAACACAAGGTTATAGAGCCATATAACGCCAGCCCATCCCCATCCTATTCCTTCAATTGCAGCGAAACTCCAGTTGGCATATACAGCAATGAGAGTTGCAACCTATTGTTGTAGTTTGCAAAAACACATAAATTTTTAGGGTATGAATGGTGATGATGCTTTCATTGATAATAGAAGAGGAAGTCAGAAATGCTAATAGCTTACCAGTTGAGCTATGATAAAAGCAACCACAAGCAACACACCAGGGCGCTCAATAAAGGACCAATTACGAGATCTTGTGACAAATATCAGGGCCTGGCTGATAGTGCTCACTTGAAGGTAGATTGCAGATGCAAGCTTCCTGAAGTCATCATGAGCCGTTTTCTCTAGAGTGGCTACACCAAATGTTCTCTGCAAACTCACGGTAACTAATAAGTAATTTTATAAATTCACAAAGAATAAGATGGGAGGAGATGTGTTTAATTTTTTAAAAGCTTAAAAAACACTTGATAGCTTGCCAATTCTCAGCCAACTAACCCGAAATCATGTTTTCATCAAGATACTCAAACATTAATCTGTCTTTTTGACACCAGAAAAGAACAATGTTATTGTTTTCTTTTTTGAAAATCAGTTCAATATATAGCTTTGGATAAACTTAAATAGCACCATTCCAGCCAAGAGTTGTTGCCAGTATTGACTTTATAACAGGACAAAATATGCATACCAATAAGTGAGTACATGGGATTTTTTTATTCAAACTCAAGCAAATCACAATTAATGAAAAACCTGATAAACACCAAAAGTAAATTAGGGCATGTTCTGTTTGTTAAAATCTTATTTTGGATCATACAATTAGTTTAAGCTATTAATAAGAAATACAATCCATTTGGTAAAAAATATAATAGATCCCAACAAAAAATGGGCATACTTCAAATGTTACCTACTATAGCATTTCGTTAAAGTTTCCACTAATAACCCAATTGTTTTTTAAAATAACATCTTAGACCCTCTTCTCATGAAAAACTAGTTCTTTAATGGTCTTTTTTTATAATTGATATGTTATGAGTTGGCAACTTAACCAAACACTTAAAATTTATACACATTTTATCATGCAGCTTTGATAGGACTCCGGCAGAATAGCACTGATAATAATAATAAAGAGTAATAATAATATTAGAATAGTCAGTATAAATAGAGGGTGAGGGAAGAATAGAAAGGAGGTTGGAATTGTTATTTGGGCTTGGGACTTGGAGAGTGGGCACTCTTAAACTGCCTGTGTATTTCTCTCTCTACATTTTCTGTTATACAACACTTTCAGTTCATCTCTTTTCTTCATCTTGTTTCTTGAAATTCATTGTGAATTAGCTAGGTACCTAACATTGGTATCAGAGAAGTCTAGCCTGAGAATCTTTGATCTACATTCACGCGATAAACAAATGGAGCAGCGCAGGAAAGAGAAGGTGGAGAAACGCAAACATGGAGGACATAAGGTGTCCGCCTCTGCTTTGCGCGTGAACATGGAGAAGCGCGTGTCTACGCAAAAGAGGATGGAACTGCATCAAAGATCCGATCAGGATGCCTCGCGCGGAAAAGTGGGGAAGTCCGAAAACCTGGAGAATGGCTTGAACAGAGAGAATCGCACGAAGAGCTAGGAAAAGGTAGAAAGTGATTGGGAGAAAGAGTGGAGGAATTGGTTGGACCAGTTGTTCACCGATCTGCGTAAACAAAGTCACAGGCGAGGTCGATCGAGGACAGTCCGTCGTTGTCAGAATTCGGCAAGCAAGGTGTCCTCGGTAGTTGAGGCCTTCAGTTCGCGACCGGAAGGAGAAGCCTCCACATCGCTGTTGCTGTCTGAGTCACAGGAGTCTGGCAATCCACGGCAAACTCTATCTAAAGGTACGGAATGTTCAAATGCACGTACTAGTATGAGAGGTCGGGTCACTACTGAGTTGAAGCAAGCGGCACCAAACGTTTTGGAAAATAGCGAAGTTGACATTCTTTACCATCAAGAAACAAATAGTCCAGCGCCCACTGATTTTGCCCTGGTACTGACCAACGATGATACAGGAGAGGATAAAGAGGACCAGTTTCACACACATTTCAACGATGATACTCGAAGGTATGCTCTTGTACTGGAAAGAAACATGGAATGTTTTAAATCTTTGTTGGGAAGAGTTCAAGAACATGAGTTGGGAGATATAGGGGAGATTGTGCACCTTCATTCATCAAGGAGAATTTTGGAAGGGCAGAATAAGTTTGATGGCTTCAGATTTAATGATGATATTTCTGTGAAGTGTGTCCAAAATGGATTGGGGGTAGGAATTATAAGAAAAAGGGTGATATTGCTACTAATGTTGAGGCAGAGGTGTTTCGGATGCTTGTCAATAATTTCATACCTGATCTATTCACGGATGCATTAATTGTTGGTGAAAATGGTAAGGGAAAGGCAGTAGTTTGTAAACCGGTTCAATGGGGAAGTGCAGATTTGGACTATAGGTTTCATATGACAATTGTGGATCAATGGGTTAAGATACTCAGGAAAAGAGAGGAGGATTGGAAATTAGGTGACAGTATTCACACACTTACTAATAGAAATGGGATGGAGAAATATGTTGAAAATGTTGACAGTCGGACCAAGTTATTGCGGGTAAAGAGGTGGTAATATTCCAGGGCACTTTAGCAAGGCAATTGGGGAAGAATGATCCACAGATTTGTGCATTTGAGGGATCAGTCTCCACTCACCCCAATGTCAAATTTGGGATGGCAGTTGAGGGCTGCAGTTTGATGCTTTCTGCAAGTTGGGATTCCTCTAATTCTGGACTGAGATGGGTTGATGAGTTTAATCTTAACAGCATAGTTGAAGGAAAAGTTAATAAAATAAAGGAATTTGATGAGGTCTTCACTTTTAAGAATCTGGAAACCCTTCTGTTGAAACTTATTTTGGTTTGTCAAACTACTCCATTCATTAGTGATACAAAATATTTGTTCCTTGAGCTTCCTTTGCTGAAAAATAAACTAGAGAGCTTTGCAAAAAGTATGCAAGTGGATGGTGGATGGAATCAGCAGACTACTCTCACAACACAGGCCTGGCTAAGTGGAGAACTAAAGCTAAGAGATGAATGGGAAAAAGGGTGGAAGAATCCTAAGAATGTGGATTTCTACCAATATATGGGCAAGAATAAGGTGCCTTTTCATACAGTAATAGTCCCAGCTACCCTACTGCGAACGGAGGAAAACTGGACTGTTATGAAAACTATCTACACAGAATACTTGAACTATGAAGCAGGGAATTGTTCAAAAAGAAAAGAAGTTGGAGTCATTGGCAATGAGGCAAAATTAAATAGTGAATCACGAAGTAATCTCAGAAACTTCATCAATCGTGCCCTGAGTTTTATGGCAAAGGATTCAGCTACTGGATATGGTTTCCTCATTCTTGATACTGGAGGAAAATGGAAAGTCCGAGCCATGATGCCTTCTCAACAGTGTGGAACAGAAAACCTCTATGAAGTACCTAGATCTCTAGGTATCCAATTCCAGGAGTGGCAGCCAGTTTTTTCTGCTATTATTGAGGAACTGGCCGATGAGAAGGGTTTTGTAGGGGTTGCAGCACTTGGTGCTGGCCAGGTTTTAGTGAAGCATCATGTAACCATGCCCTTGCCTCAGCTGCTTGCTAGGGTAAAAGTGATGGAAATGGTTCAGTTCATGAAGTTCAGTGTCCTGAAATTTGGAAGATACTGGGAAGGGAGAGGCGCCAGGATGAAGATAAAGTTAAAGATCAAGGCGATTTCCTATCACCCACCTTGAGGACAAGGTGGATGTTCAAGGGGGGAGATATGATAGGACTCCGGCAGAATAGCACTGATAATAATACCCGTAGTAATAAATAAGAGTAATAATAATATTAGAATAGTCAGTATAAATAGAGGGTGAGGGAGGAATAGAAAGGAGGATGGAATTGTTATTTGGGCTTGGGACTTGGAGAGTGGGCACTCTTACACTGCCTGTGTATTTCTCTCTCTACATTTTCTGTTATACGACACTTTCAGTTCATCTCTTTTCTTCATCTTGTTTCTTGAAATTCATTGTGAATTAGCTAGGTACCTAACAAGCTTTCAGCTCCATGTGCCAAGCACAGCTTGCACTTTTAAAAAGCTTAAGAACCTTAGATGTCTAGGTATAGATTTACTTACTGGGAAGAAGTCAGTTTTGTATGCTGCCCAGAAGAATATGACTGTCATCATTGCCAAGTAACCACCAAGAATAATGCCAGTAGCAAATATCTCAGCCAGTTTCCAACTATCAGGAAGAGGAGATGGCTTCACCCTATCTTTCGAAATAGTCATTATAGTACCTAAAAGATTTGGTGCAACAGTTAGATAAAAAAAATAGAAAAATGCTAGAAGTACAAACACACTTACAAAAAAACTTACAAACAAGTGATGTGGCTATTCTAATTACCATTGATGTAAAAGTGTTGTAAATGTGATGTGATGTGTTAAATAATATGATGATGCCACATACCCCTTTTGTAAGACTTTTTGTAAAAGTTTTTGTACCTCTGGCATAACTCAAAAAAATACATCACAAAGATATCATTGAAGAGATATAAAATCAACAGTACCTACAATTCCCGTCAAACATATAAATGATAGAAAGACTTTACTACCAATTAAGTTTCCTTTTAAAAAACAATATTATCTACATTTATTATTTGGTGACTACATGATCATGTTCCATCTCATTGATTATTATTACAAACACGGACACCTATCTAGCACCCAGTAATTTATTTGTACTGCTACATCTATTTGCATTAGCCCGATAAACAGAGTGAAGGAGATCTAACCATCATTCAGAATTGCAATGATCAGCACCATGAAAGGTGGAAAATCGAACTCCCAGATCAGAGCAAGCAGCATGAAGCCAAGCTGTTACATCAAGTTGTTAAGAGAAACAGTCACAATTTGAGATATTAAGAAGTACTAACTCAGTCCCACAACAAGAGTCCTGTTTTAAATCTATTTTGCCCCAAAAGAGTCTTGTTTAATCAAATAAGGATACTTCTTCACAGAAAATGTAAATCTTGAATAACTTCCAAGTTTAATATGATGAACTTCGGTAAACCATTAAAATGTTTCTGATATATAAGTACTACATCCATTCTTTATTAATTGAAACATGTTGAATTTTACACTATTCACAAACTCTACATTGACTATATTTTATCGGTTAATACAACAACAGCATCCGAGCCTTAGTCCCAAAAGAGTTTGGGGTCGGCTAACATGAATTGACACATGAAATCGGAGCTAAAAAGATAAGAAAGATAACAAGATAAGGTAAGATAAAAAAGGATTTAAAATATAAGATAGAGATAAATACGTAGTATAAGATAAGATATAAATGATAAGATAAAAACGATAAAGTCATGTTGATATTTTTAACTTGTCTCAATGCAAACTATTTAAATATTTTTTAATTTGTCTCGATGTAAACTATTAAAATATTTTTTATGATAGAGCCATTTTTATATTGTAATAGTCAAAGTCATGTGTTGTCTAGCGCAAAAGTCAAAGAACGGAGGAATTAGTATTCATGACTTATGTACTTGCACAGTTGCACAAACAAAAGACTTAAATTGGTCAAACATGACTCTTTATAAGGGATGGAGGGAGAGTATAAAAGAGAGAAAGAATTCTCAATACTACATACCACTATACGGATTGTGATAGAAACCGCATAAATCTGCAAGAAACAAGAAAAATAAAATGAACCTGCTAGGGTCAAGCATTGAATACTAGTGGAAAATCAAGAAGAAAAAGAGAACTTCAAATGGGAATATTTTTAATGCAGAGCAAATGACGAATAAATGCATGTGAGTGAACGAACTAAGGGAGCAAACAAGTCGAGCCGATCATGGGCAGCTCAATCAAAGCTCCACTCGGATTCAGTCAAATTCAAACTCAGATCGAGTTCAAGCCGGATTGTTAAGCAATCAAGCTGATCTCAAGTTTAATTTTATTTGATCCATGACTCGCTAGCCATGGTTCACAAGCACAAAGAAGTTACCGTGTAGTTTTTCATTCTTTGGAAGATTGCTCGACTGGTCAAAACAGCACTGATAATAACACTGAGACCAGGCTCAGTAAGAACAATATCAGAAGCACTACGCGCTGCATCAGTGGCATCTGCCACAGCTATCCCTATATCAGCCTTTTTCAAAGCCGGGGCATCATTGACACCATCACCAGTCATTCCACAAATGTGTTTTCTTGCTTGTAAACGCTTCACTATCTCATATTTGTGCTCTGATAAAGAAGACAAACAGATCAGTGGAGTTACTGAATGTGCAGTGACATTTGTAGAAAAGATAACAGAAAAAGACATACCAGGAAAAACACCAGCAAATCCATCAGCTTTCTCTATAAGTTCATCAATTGGTAAAGCAGCAATGGACTCATCCTTATTCTGACCCAGCAAAGCAGATGAAGGATACATATTTGTTCCCATTCCCAATCGACGTCCAGTTTCTTTACCAATAGCCAGTTGATCCCCTGTCAACGATCACTCAAGCATCCAGTAAGAACAGATAAATATCATCATTCGCCACATACTAACAGTAATTGTTACACAGAATGTACCATCACTTTTGAATAACAATATTGTGTGCATTGAAATGGAATTGGACAAATCAGAAACCACGACTATGCTAAAATTAGTGGTAACAGAAATATCAATGATGAGAGAACATCATAATAATCATTAATAAATATAAATATATGATGGGAACCATTAGATATAAAAATCTAAAATCATCACTAATGGCTAATGCTAATATCAAACATACAAGAGTGATGTAATGTTAAGCTTCTCACATCAGATGTCTACAAAATCTAGAATCCTTGTGAAGGCTAGATAGGCCTAACACTTATTTATTAGATATAGATCTGGTAAACAATCATAACACCTGATGGGCTACACTGAATATGTTCATCACTTCTTCTAGTGTAGAATTACCCAGATGAGCTCTGAAGCTCAACCAACGAACTTGGATTTACTGCCACACCATATCCAAAAAAAATTTAAGACAGAAAGATTAGCAACCAGAACTCACCAGTAATCATTTTAACATTTACTCCAAGATTTAGAGCCCTCCTGATGGTCTCTGCACTGTCATGCCTTGGTGGATCAAACAAAGGCATCAGACCAATGAATTGCCAAGGCCCCCCAGCACTCTCCTTTCGACAGTCGGGAACCTCCTGCTCAAGCCATTAAAGTCCATTAAATTAAATGAATGAAGTTGTGATTTGGATATGTTTGGGTCGTGTTATAAATGCCCTGTCCAATCTTATTGATGGAAGGGGTGAAATTGTAATAAAGTTGATCCACTAAAGTGATAAAGTGGGGAAAAGGGTAACCTGATAAGCAACACCAAGTGAACGCAACCCCCTCTCGGCGAACTTATCAATCACTGAATGGACCCTGCGCTCTATGTCTGATTTGTTGTGCACAAGATTTAAAATCTACAATCCATAACCAGAAAACTAATTAGATTACCAATTAAAAAAATAGATTACCAATTAGAACTGCTGATATATCAAAGAACAATCCAAAATCATACCTGCTCCGGTGCACCTTTGCTGACCCTATGCATTTTTCCTTGACCATCAATATAGGTAAGAGCTGTTCGTTTGTCAGTGGGATTGAAAGGAAGGAAATGGACTTCTTGAATGCCAGCACGAGCCTATTAATGAATATTATTATATTATTTAAGATGAGCATTAAGGATGTAAAAACGTAGGCACCTCATCCCCGAGAAGTGACCAAATCTTACCTCCTTTGGATCAGCCAGCATGCCAACAATGGCACCATCGATTGCATCTTGGTTTTCAATCCGGGAGGCTCGTGCTGCCATTAGAACAACAGAATCTGCATCCACTCCTTTGGCAAAAACCTGTGAAACAAACAACTGATTACGAATTCCTAAGAAGGATAGAGAATTACTCCATACATGTATCATTTCTAACCTCAATAAGATTCTTGTCAACAGTGAGCTTGTTCAAGGTCAGAGTTCCTGTCTTGTCACTGCAAAGGACGTCCATTCCAGCCATCTCCTCAATAGCTGTCATCCTCTTAGTAATAGCACCCTACAAAGATTGAATAATCATAACTAATGTCACATAAGATCGAAATACTGAAATAACATGCCAATGGAAGTTGCAAACCTGCTGTGCAAGACGATGGGATCCGATTGCCATTGTGACCGATAGAACAGTTGGCATAGCAATTGGGATTCCACCAATAAGAAGTACAAGAAGATTGTCAATTCCAGGGCGATACTTCCTGTGCTGAATTGGATACATTACAATGACCTCTATAATCATCCCCACGGCAATAGAGCAAATGCAAAAGTTCCCAATGGCAGTCAAAACCTGGTTATCAAAATAACAAAACGAATTCATTTTATAGTATTTCCAAGTAAGGAAAAATGAGAATAAAATCACACATGACATGACATCTATGAAGAAATATGATGTATTTTTGTGTACTCGCCTTTTGGAAGTGGCCGACTTGGTTAGTAGAGTCAACAAGGTGTGCAGCCTTGCCGAAAAAGGTATGAACCCCAGTTGCAATGACCACAGCTTCTATCTCTCCCTGTTTACATGTAGAACCAGAGTAGATACCATCTCCAGGACCCTTAGTTACTGGTAGAGATTCACCAGTCAATGCAGACTGAGGAAAAATATAAACAGTTACCCATAGTTTGTCATAAGCATAAATCCACACACAAACACAAGTATTTTAGTTTTCAGAGACGACAAAAAGAATGCAGCCAAACAGCAAGCATAGAATGTTAAAAATAGTAAGCACCTGGTCAATTTTCAAAGGATCACCATCAAGTAGACGTGCATCTGCTGGAATAATATCTCCCAGTTTGACACTGACAATGTCACCAGGTACCAAAATGCAAGCATCTTCCTCACTCCATCTTCCATCTCGTAGGACCTTCAACCACCACCAAAACAAGATCAGTAACCAATGCGGTTAAAACAGACATACACACACATAAATACTGGGTGTTCTTGTGAGAACACCTTATATCATCGATGACATCTTTATAAACAAGAACACTTAATCTGCGCCTTTTATTTTTCTAATCAAAAGGATAATATTTATAAGGTGGCATTTTTGGTAATTATCTTAGAATAATAAAAACCACCATTCGAGTTTATGATAACTATTACAAATTAGCCATTGATTAGAAAAATGAAAGGTGGAGATTAAAAGTTCCCATAATAAGATGTATTTTATGAAGAGGTATTTCCATTAGAACACTGCCCTATATATAATTACACACACATACAGAGAGGGAGAGAGATTAATACCTTGGCTTTAGGAGCAAGACGAGCCATGAGAGCAGCTGCGGCATTACCTGCATTATTCTCCTCAATGAAACTGATGGTGGAGTTTATCACAAGCAAAGTAATGATACCCACAAAGTCCTGCCAATCCGGGGGCTTTCCCTGAAGTTTTAAGGAAGTAACTTTAAGTAAATTCAAAAACAACCAGCATAGAAAACAACCAAACGGAGCTTGTGAATCTAAAGAGAGCCTCACTCCTCCATTTGCAAGTGCAATGGCCATGATAGCTGCAGCCTCCATAACCCATGACAGCGGATTCCACATAAAGCCCAAGAACTTCAGGAATTTGCTATCCTATCCACACACCAAACGGTTAGTTAAATCCACCTTCTTCTTTTAATGGACATTGTTTAGCTATTCGAATTCAGTTGTCTACCACTAAAAATAGCACATACATGAAGCAAGAGGGTAGTTGGTAAGTGAAAATATCACATAAAGTTGCATCTCAAAAGCCAATAATTTCAAAGGAAGACTAAGATCAGTCAATAATCGTAAGAGGTGGAACCTTCTTCTCCTCGAGCTTATTGTGCCCAAAAATGGCCAACCTCTCTTGGGCGGCCTGACTAGTAAGCCCCTCTTTAGTGCATCGCAGATTCTCAAGTACTTCTTCAATTGGTATATTCTCCTAAACCAAGAAAATTAAATGAAAAAGAACATTAGAAACCGAAGCAAACTCACACCCAAGCAAGAAGTGAAAGAAGCAACTGCATCTAACAACCCCAGATCCATTACCAAATCCACTGTTTCCTTCAACACAGCGTCAAGAACTTCAGGCTTCTCCGCCATCTCTCTCTATCCCTCTCTCGCTCTATCCCTTGGCCTTGAGAAAGTTTCAGATCAGAAGAGCAACCCAATCTTTTAGGCTACCCTGGACAGGATTTTGTGATTTTTAAAATGCTATTTGAAGGCAAGGGTCGGCCCACCAACCCCAAATCTACAAAGGCAGGAGGAGAATCGCTGGCAAAGAAGAGCAGTAAACAGTTACACATACACTGCATAAAAATTTCAGCATTATTGGGAGCCCTCTTTTCTTTTTGTATTTCTTTTTTGTTAACTTTCTTTCTTTTACAGCCAAATTACAATACAAAAGTGTCAAAAGTCCGCCCCTACGGACATTTCCCACTTCCTTAAAGTTTCAGGCTAACTTTTCCTATAAATCTGTTGACAAAATTCCCAGTACATTCCAAATTATACGGAGTACACTTTATTATACGGAGACATTATTGACTTGTATAATTTTTATAGTAGTAGTAGAGACCATAAATAAGCCGTATCTATAAATCCTTTTCAAAAAATGATTACACAACTACTACAGGTATTCCTCTACGGTCTACATCTCATTAGGTTTTGTAACTTTTTTGTGCCCCAAAAACATTTCTATTTTCTTCTTAAGTCAAATAATTTGAAGTTTTATTTTCTCTCTTCTTTGTGCAAACGTCAATCACATAACTTTGACTTTTTTATTTAACATCTAACACATACTTGGCAATTTTTCAATAGGACGGAGGTAATGCATTATTTTCAAATCGCTATTTAATACGCAGTATATTTTCACTTAAACGTGTTTTGAATTCAGACTAGATTGCACTTAAACAAATAGACCAAATTAGACAATAATAGAATACACATGTATCAGGTCAAACACAACTTGGAAATTTAGTCCAAGTAAAAACATCTTTAAGAAAAAATATATCACACTCTCGTGCTTGGGTCGTTCTAGCATCCCACCCACCCTAAGTATCATGAAGGAAAAACTTTGAGTATTAGTATATAATTTTTTGTGTAAATATTATTTCAAAATAATTTTTTACTCGCATAACCTAATTTATACTAGTGCATATGCCATTGCACCAACCAGTTAAAAGGAGGGAAATAATGCATAAAAAAATGAAACAAGAAATAATAAAAGGGCTTTTTCCTTCAATATTACCAAATTTAAAGTGATTTCCAAAAATGTGACCATTTTTAAAAATGACAAAAATGTGACTAAGAAGGTCAAAAAACATCAAGTCACTGTCACTTTGTGTCACTGCAGACTGTTATGTCACTGCTGCCATCGTCGGTCACCAACACAATGACTCCGCCGGCGGCCATAGTGACTCCGCCACAGTGACACCGCCGCCGGCCACAGTGACACCGGCGAAATGACTTCGGCCAAAGTGACGTCGCTACAGTGACACACTATCTTCGGTGAACCATACATCCCTCCCCTGCGGCCTACAACCCCCTCAGTCCCATGCCAACCCCGCCCTAGCCTGCCGCCGACCACCACCGCTGGCCATCATTGTTGGCATCCGATCCCAACCCTTCCCCTACACCAACCCCAACCCTCTTTCCAACATACCCCAGCCCCCTCTCCCGCCTACCCCACCCCCTAACACTACTATCACTGGCGTCCCCCCTACAACACCTGACCAGCGTCGCCATCCCAGCCCAGCCCACTCCCCCAACTCCTCAGAACCCATCCCTTACACAATCGATTCCCCACCACCTCACTCAGCCCTACCCCACCCCCAACAAACTCTGCATCACACCAACATTCCCGTCTCCAATTCCAGATCCGACCACCGGTGGAACTACACCGGCTCAAATGGTCGCAACTCTGAAAGTCGTCTCCGAACTTTAGTCGTCGTCACGAGGAAGACGAAGATATGGAGAGGACGACGCATATCAGGGGGGTGACGAAGAGCAGGCGGCGGGCGATGGCGACAACCAAGGGAGTGAAGGCGGTCTGGCTGCTCTGTCTGCAGCGGAGATGGAACTGAGCGGGGATCTACTTCCTATCGGAGAAGACGTACGATCTATGATGCTGTGCTTCGTTGATCTATTTCTCCAGCTTTGTTCGCAAAAGAAAGAAAACGGGCAGATGGATGATTTTCAGATCTGGTCACTTTTTTGTCAAATAGGATTTCAGTTATGTTTTTGTCTAATAAGAGTTGTGGGATAATATTTGTGCCATTTTTTCATAATAAAATATGTGGCAATGATGTCGCGATCACATGACAATGAGTCAGGGATGACATAATAGTAAGGTGATGATTAGCTGGACAAATGACTTAGTAACCCCCCAAAGTTGTCGAAGGGGGTGACGCCGCAGCTGCTGATTTGTGATTTGTACTTAGAACAATTCATGATCCACCTTTGTAATAACATTATTAACTCTTGGCTCCTGCCCTTATGAACACCTTACCCTATATTTTTGTTAATCGATGAATTGATGCCTCTGAGCTTTTGTATATAATTTGCTTTTATTTTTGAATGTATGCTTTCTCCCTTTCTTCGTTAATGAATGCCTTCGTGCTCTGATGTTTTAGTCGTTAGTTGTTTAGGACATAGAGAAATTCTCTTAGTGTTGTTCTTCCACCAGGCCTTCGGTTGTGTGGCCCCTCGGGCTGCATGGGGTTTGACCGAGGGCCAAATATTTAGGACTTAGAAATTTTTTCTAAGTGTAGTTCTTCCACCAAGCCTTCGGTTGTGTGGCCCCTCTGGCTGCATGGATATTTGACCGAGGGCCAAATATTTAGGACTTAGAAAATTTTTCTAAGTGTAATTCTTCCACCAAGCCTTCGGTTGTGTGGCCCCTCTGGCTGCATGGATATTTGACCGAGGGCCAAATATTTAGGACTTAGAAAATTTTTCTAAGTGTAGTTCTTCCACCAAGCCTTCGGTTGTGTGGCCCCTCTGGCTGCATGGGGGTTTGACCGAGGGCCAAATATTTAGGACTTAGAAAATTTTTCGAAGTGTAGTTCTTCCACCAAGCCTTCAGTTGCGTGGCCCCTCTGGCTGCATGGATATTTGACCGAGGGCCAAATATTTAGGACTTAAAAAAAATTTCTAAGCGTAGTTCTTCCACCAAGCCTTCGGTTGGGTGGCCCCTCTGGCTGCATGGATATTTGACCGAGGGCCAAATATTTAGGACTTAGAAAATTTTTCTAAGTGTAGTTCTTCCACCAAGCCTTCGGTTGTGTGGCCCCTCTGGCTGCATGGATATTTGACCGAGGGCAAATATTTAGGGCTTAGAAAATTTTTCTAAGTGTTGCTTGTCACTTGGCCTTCGGCCTACGCCTTCCCTTAGTTGCATTGAATGGCTTGGCCTTCGTTGCGTGATGGGTTGGCTGAGGGCCAACCATTTAGGACTTAGAACATTTTCTATAATTCATGGTGAATAGACCCTTCGATTTGTAGTATCTTGAGTAAGAGATCCCTCGGTGAAGGGTGGTGGTCCCGGAGGCACCCAACTCTCAGAACAATTTCCTTTGGCTCGTAAGACTGGCCTCCGGCAATGCTTGAGGAGCCTTCGACTTTTAGTAGATCCCAAAGTGTGTACCCTAGGATTTTTGCAGTCTAACCCCGGCATGATGCCTTCGGTATTGGATGATGCCGGAGGCAGCCGGCTGTGGACTTAGCCATTTCTTGATGATATTTGTTGAGTACTAGCCTTCGGGGACCGGGCATCGTCAAAGGTGTTCAATGAATAGGAACCTTCAGTTACCGGAAGTGTTCCACTAGGGAAGCCTTCGGTATGTTGAAATTTCTTATAATGCTGAAGGGCGTTTTGATGTGAACTGTTGGAATTGTGTACTCATTGATTTCTCGCTGAGTCTACTCCCCTTCACCCCACTTTTTTTTGGGTAATGAAGGGAAGGCTTCAAGAAACTTGGTTTCTTGGTAAGGCTTGGCCTATCGGGAGGTAACAGCATACACCATCAGCTCCCCCCTCAGGTTAACCTTCCGAGTTCCGAGGGGATCGAGGGTCATTTCCTGGGCATGAGACATAGTCTGTAGCCTGCCTCCCCTTGGGGGATGGCGCGGAAAGCGCCTCAGTTTTGAAAGTCGTTCCCTGGGCACGAGACATAGTCCGTGGCCTGCCATACCCTTGGGGTGATGGCGCGGGAAGCGTTTCGTTTTTGAAAGTCGAATCCTGGACATATTAGTTGCCTGCCATACCCATGGGGTAGTGGCGCGGAAAGCGTTTCGTTTTTGAAAGTCGAATCCTGGGCATATTAGTTGCCTGCCATACCCTTGGGGTAATGGCGCAGAAAGCGTTTCAAGGAAGGGTTTTCATTTGCACACTGGTTGCAAATGGCCGGGGGCACTACGTGCTGCCGGCACCGATAGGTGGCGCCTTCGGTATAATGCGTCCTCGAGGGGTACGGCTTTAGAAACAACACTTGGTGTTTGTTTCAGAATGCATCCCCCGGTACTTGGTATCGAGGGGTCTTCAAAAACACTGGGTGTCCTTCTTCTGGAGTTGATAGGGGTGTGTACCCCCGGCACTGGGTATTGAGGAGTCTTCTTAAAAACACTTGGTGTTTTCCTTCATTTGTCGTAGGTGTTTGGAGTGTCAACCCTCGGCAATAAGGCCTTGGGCCAGGAATCTGAATGAGGGCTTGGCCGCTCATATGTGTCTTGTTTCTTGTTCTTGGTATCTTTAATATGTCTTCAAATTTGAAGGCCTTGGGCCGTAGAATAATACATTCATTAGTTATGAGGGCTTGGCCGCTCCAACATTACTGATAAAATTTTACTATATGGTGTACATTCCAATGTCGGGGGACCTCGGTCCCATTGGGGCGTTTGAGCTTGTAAGTTCCCGGTTTGATGACGACTTCAACGATGTATGGGCCCTCAAATTTGGGTGCCATTTTTACAGCCCTCAGTTGGCTGGCTTGCTTCCCTTCGTCGTAGGACATAATCCCCCACTTGGAATTCTCGAGAGCGGACTTTGGCGTCGATGTAGCTTTTGATTTGCCTTCGGTAGTTTTCCGCTCGTATGAAGGCTTTCTCTCGGCATTCTGAGATGAGGTGAAGGTCGAGGGCCATGTTGGCGTCGTTGACTTCGGGATCATATTGGGCTACCCTTCGGGTAGGAAGGGTCACTTCAGTGGGAGCTTTAGCTTCAAACCCGTAGCACAAGAAGAAGGGTGTTTCACATGTTGCCCGTCGAGGGGTAGTGCGATAAGCCCATAGGATATTGTGGAGTTCTTCTACCCAGCCTCCCCCTTCAGCCTCCAGCTTCTTTTTGAGGCCCTCAAGTAATGTCCGGTTAGCATTCTCCACTTGACCGTTGCCTTGGGGGTAAGCAACGGATGAGAAGGTGTGCTTGAGGCCCCATGCCTCT